AGTAAGTTTGAATACATCAAAATGAAATATGTCTGTTAAGTAAAAGATTCTCAAAAAAGTTAAGGCATACGCAATATATTAAGATATTCACAATATTGATAACTAACAAGTATTATCTAGAAAATACAAGGAACTTCTCGGTGGCTCATGCCTGTAATCCCAGCACTTTGGGAGGCCTGAGGTGGGCAGATCACGAGGTTAGGAGATCGAGACCATCCTGGCTAACACGGTGAAACCCCGTCTCTACAAAAAAAAAAATACAAAACATTAACTGGGCGTGGTGGCGGGCACCTGTAGTCCCAGCTACTGGGGAGGCTGAGGCGGGAGAATGGCGTGATCCCGGAAGGCGGAGCTTGCATCCAGCCGAGATTGCGCCACTGCACTCCAGCCTGGGCCAAAGAGCGAGACTCCGTCTGAAAAAAAAAAAAAAACAAAAAAAAAAGAAAAAAGAAAATACAAGGAACTTCTTCAAATGAACAATAGTATCAGCTATCACCACAGCAAGTGAAACACTCTGGAAGAAAATGAGCAGATTCCTAGGAAGCGGCATGGAGAGCAAGCAAGCACATCAATAGATGGTCAACCACATAATAGAGTGCTTCACAGGAAAGCCCCGGATCTTAGAGCTGGCCGGCAAGCTTTGATATGCAAATGAAGGCCATTAGAAACTGGATCCACCCAAACATGGCGATTCCTGCCCTCTTCTTCCTGCCCTTGGCCTCACATGTGCCTGGCAGCATGGCCGCTCCCATGTATCTCCACGTGTGTAGAACATCATGGCGCCCTATATTTGCATATTAAAAGGCTAGGGTGGGAGGTCCAGCTTTTTCCACCAGCTATGTGAGTGACATGCCTGGTCAAACCAGTCTCCTGAGCCCTATGCAAATCAGACACTACCCCCTCCAGCCTCCTCATACAAGCAGCCACTTTTCCGAGGCACACAGGGTTTCCTCTCTTGGCTTTGGAACCCCCCTCCTCAGTCCCTGTATGCAGGAGCGTCTTTGTTCTTTCTTGCCTATTAAACTCTCTGCTCCTTAAAACTACCACCAAAAACAAAAACAAAAGCAAAAAATAAAAAACATAGTGCTTCAATGAAAACGGGAAACCATTTTATCCCCGTCATTGTAAATAATGAGAAAATCTGATATTACCATATATTAGCAGGATTTTGACGAAAATTACAGTCTTCTTGCACCGTAGGTGAAAATGTAAAATGATACAGCCAATCCGGAGAGCAACCTGGGAATAACTGGAGAGACGGCATGTGTGTGCACACAACAAGCTGGCAGTAGTTCTTCCCAGTATCACCCATGGCTAGTGAGTAGAATTTTGGTTTTGAAGGGAAAATTGCTGTCAAGTCCCCAAACAAGGGTGAACTTGGCAACAATCTTTTCAGGGGATTTGTTTTGTTATGCAGTCTAGGTACTTGACACCCTTCCAGATGATGGGGCTTGGGAATTTGTGTCAGCTTTCCCCAGTCTCACATAGATGCTCAAGGGACCATGTTAGAGGATATTTATTGAAGAGATGTACGTGGTAGCAGCTGTTTATTTGTAGGGCATGGATAAGTAAAATATGGGGCAGATATGCAGCAGAACACTGCACTGCTGTTAGAAGAGATGGACTGGATGAGCATTGTGGTAGGCTGAATAACAGTGCTCCAAAAATGGCTACATCCACATGTCCACAACCTTTGCGGCTGCCGTTAGGTTAGCGATCTTGAGATGGGGGTGGTGATCCTGGGTTCCTAAGGTGAGCCAATGTGATAACAAGGCTCCTTATCAGAGGGAGGCAGTAGGATCAACAGTCAGAAGTGGAACATGTGATGAAGGAAGTAAAAGGTGGGCGTGAAGCAAGCAATCAGACATGAGCCAAGGAATGTGGGTGGCCTCAGAACCTCCAAAAAGGACCAATTCCTAAAGTCAATAAAGGGCTCATTGACTTTAGCCCAATGAGACTGATTTTGGACTTCTGACCTCCAGGACCGTAAGAGAAAATTTATTATTTTTTTTTGTGGAGGCATAACTAAGAATCTTTATTGACGGACATTTACATTGTTTTCAATCCTACCCTTTTAAATAGATCACAAAATGTACATATGTCATTGTGTATGTGTTAGTTTATCTTTAGGATAAATTTCTAGAAGTGCCTGGTTAAAGCACATGCAGTCTTACATTTTTGATAGATTATTTGTAATTTTGCCACATTGCCCTCCAGAGGGTTTGTAACTATTTACGTTCCTGCTTGTTTTCCCACAGTCTTGCCAAGATAGTCACCAAACTTCTGGATTTTTGACCTTCTAATGAGAGAAAAGTAATATTTCCATGTATTTTTAATTTGCATTCCTTTTGTAAGTCAACACTGATCATCTTTTCACATGTTTAAAAATCATTTGCAGTTATTTTCCTGTGAACAATCTGTTCATATTCTTTGCTCATTTTTCTACAGGGTTGATGGCCTTATTGATTGTGTAAGAGCTCTTTATGTAAGAGATTAGCCCTTTGTAATAGGAATTGGGAATTTTAGCAAAATATTTATGACTTCTAACCTAGGTTATCATTCATTTCTTTGCTTTGCCTATAGGGGTGTGTGTGTGTGTGTGTGTGTGTGTGTGTGTGTGTGTTTGTGTGTGTCTGTTGGCATAGAGGATTTGTAGGTTTTTGTATAGTCACTGTAACAATCATTGTTATGGTTTCTGGATTTTAGGTAATGGACTTTCGCACTTACAGGTTATAAAAGAAATGTGCTACATTTTAGATAATTTTTTTTTGTTCTTTGAAGCCACTAAGTTTGTAATAAGTTATTAGAGCAGCATTAGGAAACTAACAGAAGCATACAAGGTGTGTAGATGTTAAAATCAAGCAGTTGAGTAAAATAAATGTAAAAACATATGACATTTTTTTCTAGGATACACACAGACCCAAGGACTATAAGAAGTATATTCAGGAAAAGGGAATGGGAGTGAAGATGATGGTAGAGTGAAAAGACAAAATAATTAAAATAGACTGTCTTGTCCAGAGTAAGTGTGATATGAGCCATAAAGAAGACAGTATAGTGAACACATCTCTGCATCTGAGATCTCCCATAACACTCCTCCTATCAAATTGAAAACAAAGAAAGAAGGAAAACAATGGAATAGAACTGGCTGAAAAACACAGAGCTGGTTCTACGGAAAGACTTAGGTAAACCCCTGGCTTTTGTGACCACAGAAGAAAGGGAAAGGGAAGAAAACTGAGTAACATTATCATTTGGTGTAAAAAATTGGTTTGGCTGCAGATATAGAAGATACTTAGAAATTAAATACTACTTAGATGAAAAAACATTTTTTGGGGAGAATTGTAAATTACCAAAATTGATCCAAGGAATGGCTTAAAAAGCCCCAATGTGGTGGAAAATCAAAGAGGAATTTAAAATGTTCTCCCAAATCTAATCCTCCAGAAGCCAGATCCAGAGATTTCAAAAATAACCTAATTTCATCAATATCTTCAATAAATAGGTGAGTCCTTAATCTGTTCTGCAATGTGGAAAATGACAAAAACCTTCTGTCCTACCCCTAATAGTAAGCCCAGGGAAGATTAGCAGTGTGATAAAGAGGAATTCCTGTTTAAGAAGCAGGTGACCTGTTTTCTAAGCATGCACATTCCACTTGTAAACTGGATGCTCTTGAGCAGTTATCCTAATATCCCCCTGCCTTATATACTCGTCTGTCAAACAGGTGTTTAATAAATGCTGACATTAGCTCTGCCCTTCATCTCCCAGCTGTTCTCTGATCTTCACTATTGGGTTTGCTGTTGCCTCCCCTCCCCCTATAATTCAGAGCACATATAGACTGGGGCTATATGCAGTCAGAATTGGCTCAGACACTGGAATGGGATGGAGCCTATATCCATAGGCTATATCCATAGGCTCCACAGGCTGGGATGGAGCCTATATCCATCCATAGGCTCCATCCCAGTCTGGTGTCTGAGCCAATTCTGACTGCATATAGCCCCCGTCTACTCTTCCCCATCTCTTCAATCCAAGACAGACTTTATCTTTGTGACTTTCATAGATTCTGGATGAAGAGGAGGCAGGGCTGACCACTGAACACCAACACTATTCCCTAGCAATCAAAGCTCCCCACATCCCACACTGTTCACCTCATCCCCCAAATAGCTTCATTTTCATGTCAAGGATTCTGTCTTTCTTCTTGCCAATCTGTCCATTTTTAGTCCAGGGTTTCCTGACTTGGTGACTACAGACACTAGAAGGTTGCAGGTATCAGTAGCAAGGGATTTCAGAATGCTTTCTTATACAAATGTTATCTGTAGATTGAATATCTCATACACATAAGTGTTGCTATTTTTCCAAATGAACTTCTATCAGTCTGAGTTCAAGCAAGAGACAGAAACCACATGGTAATGTAAATCAAGAGAAGTTTAATATAAAAAAATTATTCAACGGTGATAGAAGAGTACTTATAACAATGTAAAGAGAACTTTCAAGGGTATCTGAGGATTGAGGGAGAGTACCCAAGGAAGGACAACTTGGAAAGAGGGTTCTCTCCCTAAGGCTGGGGTTCAGGCCTTGTTGGAGAAGGTGTATTTGCAGTCCACCAGATGTCAGAGAAGCCTCCTATTTTCCAGGACCAGAGCTGTTCCATAGCTGCTGGGCAAATAGGATGCAATCTCTTGGAGCACAGGCAAACTGAGGCTGTGGCTAAGTGCACAGTCAGGCCACTGCTGGGGACATGAGGCCTGGAGTACACAGTGCCTGTGTTGCAGGGCTGTGAAGTGGCCACAGGCTCAGGATCAGGCCAAATAGTCAGTGAGGGACTGTGCCTCTGGGCAGATGGTAGGGGCAGGGCACACAGCGGGATGGTCTTATACATAGCACCACTGATGGATAATGCAGCTGGAGCAAGAAGAAGAAAAGTAGCACACCAGAATCAGGAAGAGAAACTTGCTTTCTTTGCAATGCTGCTCCAGTGGCATCTGCTGACAAAGCTTAACGCTGTGCTCACTGTAAAGGAGAAATGCTTAAAGAGTTTAGTGCATGTTTGTAGAGCAGCTGCTGAAGAAATCTGGAACAAAGAGGTAATAAATTGAAAACTGGCATAGCGCTGGTAGAATTAGTGAAATATAAATTTATGTTAAATCTCTGCTGATTCCTAGTTGATTTTTATCGTTATATATTTTTAATGAACAGATTTTTATTGTTATATATTTCTCAATTAACAGATGTAAAGAAGATGACAATTAGCATATGGGGAGTCCACAAGACATTTTGATGTGAAATGTGGGTCCTTCTTCTTGACAAGGTGGGAATATGCTGCTCTAGCAAGACTGCAGTGATGAATCCCAGGTGACGCCCACCTGTTGGCTTGACTCTAAAATAGCGTCTTCCTGTCCAGCTGTCGGGTTTTTGTAACTCATACTCTTAACTCTAGTGTGAATCATTTGCATAAATTATGGTTGCAATTCCTGAGCTCCTGGTGTATCACTTCTTGACCTTCTGAGTCCCAGGATGCAATTAGCCCTGCAAATACCTGACCTTTTCTCTAACTACCTGTTCATTGTCTCAAAAAGTCTGGCCACTTGTCCTTCTCATGAACTAGGACAATTGATTGAATGAATGAGTGAATGAATGAATGCCTGTCCCCCTCCTCCATGGTTTTGAGAATTATTATTAAAAATGCATATAAAGCCTATGTCGAAATGTACCAAGCAGCATAAATCATCATAACTGTTATTACTGATAATAGCCACACTTTTAAATGAGGCTTTATTTGCCTTTCAGTAGATCTCATTTGCAAATGGTGGTTTAAAAAAAAAAATAAGTGGTTTCTACTTATAACCAAGCTCATTGGTAACTAAGCAATTCAAAAATTCTGTGGCATATATATTGTCAACAAGACTCTGTTTTTAGACTTTACTCACTTGCAAATGCATGTCTAAACATTGCAGCTATAGCAACATGCAAGCCCAGGTGCTAAATCACCTGGTTGGGAAGATAAAAACCATCTCACATTGCATCTAAGAACTCTGACCTGAATTATATTTTCCAGGAAGTAGGTGAGAGTAGGGGAGAGGAAAGAAGAAGGGAGAATTAAGAGCAAAAGTTAGTTTCATTTAAACTGAAACAAGTAGGTCAGCTGACATTGTGCTAAGTGAGCCTGCTCACTTTTCAGGTTAAAGTTTTTCCTTAAACTCAATTTTTTGGTAAAAGAAAAAAGAATAAGACAACTCCGGGATACAAATTGTGAAACTTGTAATGATGATGTGATACCTTAATTTGGTTAAAATGCATGACAGTGTAAGTCAGGACAACCTTCGGCTGACACAAATGAGGAGTTATGCTCAAGTGCACAAAAGCTTTCCCATGAGCCACTTGTTTTTGGTTTTAATAAGGCTTCATCTCTTTAAGTGGATTACCAGTAAATTCTTCTGCTAGTTAATACTAGAAAACAAATGGGAAGCCTGAGGTTTTTCCCCACAAGATGGCTATTTCTAATATCAAGATTGTCACAGCCATTTAGGGGATGGGAGCACAAAGTCAAGAGGAAGCATCAAAAAGTGTTTTGGGGTCGGGAAGTAACATGAAGAAACTCGTGCTTAAAGAAGAATATGTTTGCAGGTTGGTGACGTACACAGCTAAGCAGCCTAATAAACCGATATAGTAATTCAAGTATAAAAGCCCTCAGAAGTTAACTAGTCAAGCCCCTTTCTAGTACAAAGGAGGAAACTGAGCCCCAGAGATTAGAGAGGAACTTGCCTAAAATCTCTTACCTGGTTGTTGGCAGAGCTGTGTACGTCTCGTGACCAGTCTAAAAAGTTTTGGCTACTATTCTTTTCACCAAATGTCACTGAACTTTAGAGGTGACATGACATTCTCATTTTTAATATTTTATATTTTGAGGTGATCTAAGAGTTGGAGATCCCAGGGGGTTATTTTTCTTTGGGATCTTAGTTATAAATGTTCTTTTCTCTAACTGCAACCTCCTTATAGATTTCCTCTCTCTTTCCTCCAAGTCTACTCCAGTTGCTTTTCTTTTTCTTTTCTTTTCTCTCTCACTGTCTCTTTTTTTTTTTTTTTTTTGGGATGAAGTCTCACTCTGTTGCCCAGGCTGGAGTGCAGAGGTCTCAGCTAACTGCAACCTCGGCCTCCTGGGTCCAAGCAATTCTTGTGCCTCAACCTCCTGAGTAGCTGGGAATACAGGCTCACATCACCACTCCCAGTTGATTTCTGTATTTTTAGTAGAGTCGGGGTTTCGCCATGTTGGCCAGGATGGTCAATCTGGCGACTTGAACTCCTGGCCTCAAGTGATCCACGTGCCTTGGCCTCCAAACGTGCCAAGATTATAGGCGTGAGCCACCATACCCAGTCTACTGCAGTTGTTTTCAAACCAATCATAGCATAACAATTTCGTAACATTAGACATATTTCTTAGCTATTTTGTGTCTCAATTTCCACCATAATATAGAGAAAACAATACCACCTACCTCATGGGGCTGTTTTAAGAAAAATTAGTTAACATATATATAATACTTAGCGCCTGGCATATCAATGCTATATAAATTTTACCTATTTTTAGAGATAGAAATGTAAGAGAAAGAGTTTTTGTGATACTTTGTTTATTTGTCCTATTCTGAAAAGTTCATGACACCTGAACCTGATTTTACATGAGCTGATAAAGAATTGCTTGAAGGTCCTGAAGTTAATTCCATTCTTAAGGACTGCATAGTGAGCCTCCAAAATGCACATGGGATGTTGCAGGGGAAGGTCTAGGATGGAAAAGATGGAAGGAAATGTCAGCTGGGGGATTGGGTGAATAAGAAGGTGAGAGATTAGAGAGAGGGAGAGACCCATTTGAGGAGCAAAGAGCAGCAACTCTTTTAATCCCAAGGAGTGTGTGTGTGTGTGTGTGTGTGTGTGTTTGTGTGTGTTCCAGGTATGGTATTATGATCACAACTGCGATATTATATTCATCTGATGCTCAAATCTCCAACTGCTCACCTCTTATGTGAGTAAAAGTTCTGTATCTCCGATAGTCTGTGAGACATCTTCCCAGGAATATCCAGCTATTCACTCAGCACATTATTCACTCTAAACATGAGTTCATTTTTTTAGAGCCACCTCTGTTCAAAAACCCTATTTATGCCATCGGTAACACCTTCCCTCCAATCACTCAGGCTTAAGATCTGTATTTATTTGCAACTCTTTACTCTTAAAATTTAAGCTGTAATGTATGCTAGGTAAGTGATCATGAGTAGACTATTTATATTTCTGATCTTTGTTTACTTATTTGTAAATCGTAGTTAATTTTAACTACCATATAATAGTTGTTGAAAAGAATAATAGAACTACTACAGTAGTAGTATTTTTCTTTTCAACAACCAGTACAAGGTAGTGGAATTAACTACTAAAAACTATTACCATAGTATTAGTAGTAATGTGGCAGAATAGTATTAATATTAGTAAGAATAAGTATATGGTATTAGAAATACAATACTAATAATAATAATGGCTAACATTTATTAAGTTCTATTTTCTCATTTAATCCTCATAACCACTCTATTGGGCAGGTTGCATTTTTATCCTTAGGTCATAGAATAAGAAAATGAGGCTTATGGAGGCTCATTCACCTGTTCAGTAAATGTTTACTGGGTGTCTAGTCTGTGCCAGGAACCCTTCTAGAAGCTTGAGATTCACCACTACAGAAGATAAGGTCCTCCCTCTTATAAAACTTACAACCTAGTGGGGAAAACCAAGTCAACAAATGAAACGATTACAAACTGTGAAGAATCCTGTGAAGTAAACAACAGAGTCTTGTGAGAGGGAGTAACAGGTGGCTGGGCCTGCTTTAGGTAGAGTAAGTCATGAAGGCATCTGGAGGAAGGTGACCTTTAAGCTGAGACGTAGGGATGAGGAGGATTCAACCCTGAAAAGGCCTGAGGGGAGAGTGCCAAGGCCTCTGAGCAGGAAGGAGCTGGCATACTTGAGAGACTTCAAGACAGGCAGGGGCTGAAGAAAAGTAGGGGCAGGAATGTTGGGGAGGATAAGGATAGGGAGGAGGGGCCTGGCCTAGAACATGGAGAGCTCCATGCACCACGGCCAGCAGTTTGGAGTTTTATTCACATGCAGTGGCAAAGCTAAATACAGTGAAAGCTGAGCAGCGAGTGGCTGATCTAAGTTAAAACTTTTAAATATTCCTCTGGCTTTATTGTGGCAAAAGGGTGTATGAGATAAACCTGGGATACTAAATAGGCACCTATTGCAGTAGTCGAAGCAGGAGATGATGGCGCTTGGACCAAAGGAGCGAGGAGAGATGGATACAAGGGGATAGGTGGGGCCTATGTTTCAGCTGAGAGCTGTAGAGGAAAGCGAGGAGAAGGGAGGAGCCAGAAAGATGTTTCTAGCTTAAGCAACTGGGTGAATGGCAGTGCCAATAACAGAGTTAGGAGGACCAGAGTAGTAGAAACAGGTGTTAAGAAAGAGAAATGGGACATACAATCAAGAGCTCTATTTTGGCCATGTAAAAAAAAAGATGATCCAATCGTCAATTAGAGAGTCGAATACAAGAATCTTGATGAGGAATCTGGCTAGAGGTAAAAATATGGGATTATCTGCATATACACTGTTTAGAACCATTGGCCTGCAGGAGAAAATACACAGAGAAGAGAAGGTGCCTCTGTTCTGAGCTCTGTGGAGCCCAGACATTTCTGAGACAGGCAGAAGAGAAGAATCCAGGTGTGTGAGAAGGGAAGCTTGTCCCACAGCACCCAGTTAGTAAGGAACTGACTGCCGATGCAACATTTTTGAGGAGTCTTACAGAGTGCCCTGCCCCCTGCAACCTCAATTACTGCAATAGCTCCTTCCGCCCCAAGCTCCTCAGTCTGACTTTCAAGGCCGGCTTTGACTCTTCTCTCCTTCTCCAACCTACTTCTGACACCACAAATATTCCTACACACCCTATAACTTACAAAGCTCTAGAAGCCTGTAGGATGCACTTTTATGTAACAGTAACCATTTCAATGATAACATTCGTTCATTCAACACATATCGAGTGCTTGCTGTGTATCAGGCCCCCTTCCAGCCTCCGAGGAGACTCCAGACAACAAAGTCTCTGCTCTTGTGGGTTGACACTGGGGAGGGGGCTTCTCTAGTCTGTTTTTTTTTCATAGATCCCTTATTGGTCACACTCATTTCCATCTCTACAAATGTTCCCTCCTTCCTTCTCAGCCTCTTTCCTCCCCTCCACTTATCCAAATCCTCCATTTTCCATAGAAGCCAGCCAGGCTGAAAATAGCATGTTATGTTCCCACATGTGAGCACTGATATATCTAAACATAAACACTACCTTATCACCGCTACTTCCTCCCACAGGGATGCACACCTACCTGACCTCCAAACAGAGACATCAACATAGAAACCTCCGCAGAGATAACCAGATCTCCATATTGCAAGCCCATGCAAAAAGTAACCTAGAGAAACAGACGCCTGGATGAAGAGGGGTGTGAGTACAAGCTTTGGTGAGTAAAACCAAAGGTGAATTTAGGGGGAAATGGGTACCGTAGAGAAAATGAATAGGGCTAGAGGAGATAGAAGAGAGGGTAAATAAAGGTCAACAAAGCAAGTTTAGGACATTCAGACAGAATGCTAAGCCTGGATAGCCCCTAAAGGGCTTTTGGTGATATTCTGAGCTCCCATGCCTAGCTCATTACCTACTGCCAAGATGAAAAGGCAGGGCTAGCCATGTTCAAAGCTTTTCTCAGGAGCCCAAATTCAGGGAAAGGCTCTTGCAAGGAAGGTCAGTGCATCTCCATCCAGCACAAGCTATATTAGGGAAATTTCACTGGGTGTTAACCTATTTAACACTAAAGCCTTCTCAAGGATGTAGATTAGTCTAATGCTCTCTGATGGGGTTACGTAAGTAATTCTCTCCTCCGCTTACCTATAGCTAACTAACAACTTCCATTAGCACAAGTGACCTGGTCAAATAGTGAATTGTGATTTAGTACATGCGAAGGCTCATCTATATCAAACAGTGGGGCACTGATTAGTTTCCTTCTATTCCAGCAGATGGAGCTACTGCCTGGAAGGACTCAGTGTGCTTCAGTGGCTGATGCCCACTCCTCAAAAAACAAAACCAAACCCAAAACAACAAGTGGTGTAGAGAGAAACAAGAATTACCAAAAGGGAAAATTACTTGGTCTAGAATTATTTTGTGATTGTCCAACTACCTGCACCAGTGTCTGACCGATAACCCATACTCAATAGATAGTGAATGAATACATCTGACATAATCTGATGACCAGACTGTAGCTTGAGTTTAGAATAGTAATTCTGTCTGCCTTTTTCTGCTTTGTTTTTCACTCCTGTCCCTTTGATCTTTGTATATTCCTATCCTTTGGACACCCACATCCATCAAAATGTCACAGAAAAATTCTGTGAAACCTGACTGCAGGGCCAAAGTGATGTCAAAGGGAGGTTTGGGGAGAGGCACGTGATAAAAATAGCCCAGCTGAGGTTCCCATCTGTTTCCCATGCCGTAGCACTATGCCCTAGGCGGTGTTTCTCGAAGTATTTCCCCAGCGTCTGCATCAGTATCAGCTGGGTTGTTTGTCAAAAATTCCAATTCCCAGGCCACACCCCAAAGAATCTGATTCAGTGCTGCTGGGCTGGGGCACTCTAAGTAGTTCTGCAAAATGCAGCTTGAGAATCCCACTTGTAGGTTAAGGAGAGTGAACAATCTTTTATCCTTAATCCTGAAATCTAAAGAGTAGTGAAAACTGAAAACTGCTAGGCTTTCAGAACTCATTTTGGTGGCAAAATCTGATCCATGAAGTGACATCACACTATAAATGATCCTTATTTATTGCACATAATGTGGACATTCACACACTTTGCTGCAGAAATATTAGTGTGTTTGATTAGAAGTAGCTTTCCCTGACCCTACTGGGAATGTTAATGGATGTATAGTATGTACACGGTGCTGAACTGTCTTTCTAAAATCCAAAGAATTCTTTTTTTTTTTTTTTTTTGAGGTGGAGTTTCACTCTGTCGCTCAGGCTGGAGTGCAGTGGCGTGATCTCTGTTCACGGCAACCTCCGCCCCCCGGGTTCAAGCGATTCTCCTGACTCAGCCTCTTGAGTAACCGGGACGATAGGCGCGTGCCACCGTGCCCGGCTAATTTTTTGTATTTTTTCTGTAGAGACGGGGCTTCACCATATTAGCCAGGATAGTCTCAATCTCTTGACCTCGTGATCCACCTGCCTCAGCCTCCCAAAGTGCTGGGATTACAGGCGTGAGCCACTGCGCCCGGCCCAAAGAATTCTTGAATTCAGAAACACACTTGACTTTAGGGGGTTCAAGTAAAGGGCACCTGTACTAAATCCTCATGTGCAGTCTCTATGTGGTGTTTGAAGCAGTACTATTTGATTCTTTTAACAAAAAAAGCCTAATAAAAGGAATGTTGGTTTGAGAGCCAGAAGACTTCATCTTTCTGGCTTCAATTCTCTACCCTGAGAAGCAGATGGCATTTGCATCTTCTGTCTCTAAAATTTTGATTCCACACCTTCTTGCTTTCTTAAGAAATGTTCAGACATTACTGCCATAAAGATGAGATTGTTGTGTATTGTTGTTTGTATTACAAATTTAGAAAGGTGAAAATCATTTTCTTGCTCATAGGTTTCCAGCAGATTCTTGGCTGACATTTCTGTCAGTGATGTGAAAGGACATTTACCCAGATTCTATAGATATTTTGGTTATGCACTCAACAAACCTACAATGAAACTACCAGCATACAAAAGCAATTGTGAACTCCAGAGAGTGCTAGAAAACATTATGGAAGACGGTATGGTTTATGTTAATTATAGAGGACTAAAGAGATGTAAAATAGGAGAACTGAAAAAGCCTCCACTTCCAGTGGCTCTTAGCGTGTAATTAGTCCAAGGGGCAGCAAGCTGCCTTCTAGCAGAATCCTTGTGATCCCAAAGCCTGCATGAGCGGGGCCCCTCTCTAGTGCTTTATACAGTAATTAATATTTAAATGATCTTGCTAAAGCCCTGTCAAGTCCTGAAGCAAGATTTTGAAAACCAAAAAAAAACCCCATAAAACACAAAATGAACAAAAACATGAGCTCTGAGTTTGCTCTGTTGAAAGCAATGGGTGGAATTGCGTCTCCTCATAATATGTATGTTGAAGTCCTAACCTCCAGTACCTTTGGGTGTGACCTTATTTGGAGATGCAGACATTACAGAAGTAATCAAGTTAAAGTGAGGTCATTGGGATGGGCCCTAACCTGATACAACTGGTAATTTGGACACAGACACGGTCAGGCAGAACACCATGTGAACATAAAGGTGGTCATCCACAAGCCAAAGGGGAGAGGCCTGGAACAGATCCTTCCCTCACAGGCCTCAGAAGGAACCAACCCTGCCAACATCTTGAGCTTGTACTTCTGGCCTCCAGAACTGTGAGACAACAAATTTGTGATCTTTTGTTACAATAACCCTAGCAAAATACACTGTGACACCCAGTTTCTAATCTGATGACAAAGGGAGGCATCTACAGTCTCTGAGGAGGTGTGTATTTGGGCACTCATTTCATCACTGTCCCACTACCATTTATGTCCTATTCTTTGTTTTCCATTTGTTTCATCTTTCTAATTTTATCTTCTATTTTTAAAAAAGTTTACTGTACTAGACATAACTTTATACGCTGTCTGAAATTCTTCTCAGGTTTACAAATGATATAAATTCGTAAACAAAGATTATCTGACCTTAAGCACATACGGCATACGTGGTTGGGATGAAACAACTAACTAGCAAAATATTACTTTATAAAACAAATTAAACAGCAAAAAATTAAATAGTAAACTCCAACTCTCCTGGACCATTAGAGGAGGAACTGCAAGGGATGACGAAGATTTCATAGAGCAAATGATTTCTGCACTCTGGGAAAGAATTCTTCAGGCAGCACACCACTTTAAAATGGTGCTTGACTCACCAGAACATCAGGGCTGTCTTCAACTTTTCACATCACAGAGCAGAGAGAGAGGAAGATCACTTCTGGATGGAGTGTGGCAGGGATTTTGTGAAGTGTATAAAGAAGCTAGCAAGTGTATAAAGAAGATAGCCATTTACTAAGCATCTGCTATGTAGCAGGCACTCTGCTAGACATTTGTTATGGGATGAATCGTTTAATCCTTATAATAAACTTGCAAGGATATATTTTAGCCCATCCACATTTAAAACCAATAAATATGTGGCTTAGAAAAGTAAATTAACTTGTCTAAGATCAAGTAATTAGTAAAAAGTTGAGCTGGGATTTGATATAAAGAAAAATCTGATCTAAACTTGACAAGATTTCTGCTCCTCCAAATTGCCTCCTTAAAGTTTACACATTGTTTGGTCTCTTCCATACACATCAAAATTATCAATACCTATAGAAATGTCTGATGAAAAGTCTTCCTTTAAATTAGAATATTTAGAAACTTTAGGCCCAGAGACTAAGAAATATGTAAAGTTAGTATAAAAGTACGTAAAATGTTTGTAAAGAAATGATGATACTTTCGTAGACCAATGTGGCATGTAAAACATGGGCCACAGAGGAAGATTAAGAAAAAAATATATGCAATCATAATAATAAAAGTGGAGTTACTCCAGACTATGCTTTTTGCCAATTCTTTAGTGAGAAGGGATTGATAGTTAATTACAGAACCACTTTCTATATTAATTCTAGATATTATATTCTAATCCTTAGAAAGTAGACTGTGGAAGAACTAATAATTGCCCTCCAGGACCTAATCTCTTCTTCTCATAAGAGAATTTATGGTTGCCCAGCTAAAGCTTCTATTTTGCAGCACTCTTTGCAGATAGATATAGCTATGGACTCAGTTCTGGCCAGTGGACTCTGAATAAAGGTACTGTGTGACACTGTTGGCTGTGCTCTAAAGCTAAGGGATGTGCCATCTCATCCCCTGTGCTCCCGTTGTTGGCTGGGAAACTGGTAGGGTAATAGGCATTAAGCCAGCCATTACAGACTTTCAGATGGAAACCAGTTGTTGAGGATGAGAGAGCAACATAAAGAAGACCCTCAAGATTGTGGGGCTAATTTACCAGCCTGAATTGCCAACCTGCGTTTTTGTATTACAGGAAAATAAAGTGTGTGTTTTTAAAGCCACAGTTATTTTGAGTCTCATTGTAACTGTAGCCAAACCAATAATCTAACGAATAAACTATATTCTAACTAATAATTAAACAGAACACTCCATTCCCCAAATCTTCTGAATATGAATGTATGCAAGAATTCTCCATGTAGAACTATATCACTTATTTTGGTATTCATATTATGGTCCATTTTCTCCCGACAACTCATTAGGACTTGTCATTTCCTTGGTTTCTGAACTCTCTTCAGCGAAAAGTCTGCCAAGGGATTCTGGCTTCTCATGTTGTCTTAGGAGTATCTTGACTGGGTCCAGAAACCTTGGGTCATTCCTTTTAAGTGCAGGATAGGTAAAACTGGGAAAGTGAAGACACCATAGGATGATCTAATATTTATTAGTGATTTTGTTTATGCCCAAACAGTCCAAAAAGTGTCTGGAAATTTCTTCCATAATCTGATTTATAAGAACCCTTTGAAACCTGGGCAGCATGTTGGATCAGGATTTTCTCAGACTTGTCTGAGGTTTTTAGATCTAGTACATGGGCAGCTTCCTGAAGAGGGGTACGGGGGAAGCATGTGTGTGGAGGAGGTGCTATAACCAGAATTCCCCTGTAGTTGCCTTTTCTAAAATAGGGTTTAGAGATGTGGGAGGAGTCCCCCTAAACCACTAAAATGTCTCAGTTGTAAAACTGATGACTCTTTGGTGAGCACACAAAGCCAACAGCTTCACGTTCTATAGTCCATTTAGACGAAGAAAGAAAAAGTAAAAGGGCATTTACCCAATTTCTGTGGATGATTGAACAGGCTATTGCACTCTGCAAAACTAGGAAGTACTAAGCAAATACTAGAAAACTTATTACAGAGTTTGAAGCAGAGTTAGTTTCAGGTAGGATCAGGAATTGCAGATAACCTCTTGAATTCTTTGTCTTCACTTTACATATCCTATAGCAGAAAACAAGGGGTCAGCCTCATATAGTGGATGCTAGAGTTTAGGGGGGCAAGGTGGGATGGAGGAGGCAATGAGACCACCTGGGGATATT